ATTTTTTTTTCAAATATATTTTTTTAATTAATTGTTTTTTCAATTATTTTTTTAATTATAATGTGTGTGATCCCATTGTCATAAATAATAAAAATAAATATAGATATTTTAGGCCTGAACAAACATATTTTTTAGTTTATGTTTTTAAAATTTTTTAAACATTTTGTTCAAACCAAATGCGTTTGTAATTTATGTTTTTTTAAAAATAAACAAAAATCAGTTTATAAAATTTTTGTAAACATAAACAAAAAATGTAAACGTTACCAAACGCTACCTTAATTTGGATGTGACATTTTGTTTTATTAATTTTTTAGCCAATTTCATCATTTGTGATTAATTTAATCAAAAAAATTAGAAAAAAAAATCACATCCCAAACGACACTTAAAAATAAAATAAAATAATTTTTATTTTTTGAGTTATAACTAAGAAAAAATTTGTCATAATTAAATATACATGATGTATTATTTAAGAATTCATGTGTCATAATTGAATTTTTTTTGTCATAATTAAAAAAATAATATAGTTAAAGAGCTATGATAGAGATCCCCTCCAATCACCACCCCCACAATCTCCCACAGACACGTGGCGGGTGGTGATTGGAGGAGTAGGAAAAAAAGAAAAAAGAAAAAGAAAATATAACCAATGAGAGAGAAGGGGTCAAAAGGGTGGAGAAAAAGGGGGCATGAAACATTTTTGATGGTTAAAAGTGCATAAAACACACCCTCTTCAAGGGGGTATATATTAAAATTCCTAAATTTATAAGATTTATTGTATTTTATTTTATTTTCAAACTTTAAAGGGTTAGTTTAATTTAATTTATATTTTATTTTTTGAATTTATTAAATAAAATTAAAAAAACTTACTCAAAAAGTAATTAACAACCAAGGAAGGAAGCAACAAATCTAATACCCCTATTCTTGCTCTTTCTCTCTCTACATCCACCTCTTCTCCAATTCATGGAGAGAGAAAACAATCATCAAGCAACAACAAATGCTCTGATTCATTCTTGTTGAATTCAGGTAGATATATATAGATAGTTGTATGTATAATATGTATAGAACCCTAATTCGGTGAATCCCCAATATCCAATGCATTGGTGTTCAATTGAATCGGAGTCTTCGATTGGTTGTGATTGCGGTGTTGTTGGATCTGATGGTGAGAGTTTTGGGGGTGGTGGTTCTAGAAGAGAATCGTCGGTGTGGTTGCGGTGGTGATTCTAGTTTTTTGGTGAGGGGTTGCAGAGGCGGCGACGACGACGATGCAGCTTCACTTCTCACCGGGCATGAGAAGCATTACCATATCGACCAACAACAATGGCTTTATTGACTTGATGAAGATCAAGGTCGCAGCTCGCCATATCTCTTACCGTACTCTCTTCCACACCATCCTCATCCTCGCTTTTCTCTTGCCCTTTGTCTTCATTCTCACTGCTGTTGTTACCCTCGAAGGTGTCAACAAGTGCTCCTCATTCGGTACACACAATAATCTCTCTCTGTCTCTCTCTCTAGATCTCCATTTTCAATTGTATTGTTGTTCGTCTTGAAATGTGGCAATCTCTGTTTTTTTTTTGTTGTGCTGTTTATTAATTTGATTTGATTGAAATTAAAATGGGATTCATGGAATTTTCATGCTTCGCTAATTAATTTTGGGTTTTTAGTTGTTTTCACTGTGGGAGATCTGAGTTTGGTTCTTTTGACAATTTGAATCTATGGTATGGGCAATGGTGGATCATTAATTTTGTTCCATTTCTTTCTTCTTTTTTGGTTTGGTGTCCGAAGTTGGTTCATTTATCAGGTTTTTTTAGTTATTTACATTGTGAGAGATTTGACATTGGTTAATTTGATTGGACTTTTATCTTTATTCCTTTTGGTTTGATCAATAGTTAGATCAAAACAGAATTAATGATACATATAGTTAAATCAGCAATGTATGAATTTTATGATAATTTTCCTTGTGAAATTCTCTGTTTTCTGTTTGTAGCTCTTTTTTATTATTTTTTTTTATAAAAAAAGGTGTATGTTCAGAAGGTACTGATTAATTTAATCCACTTTGTGAATTGGGTTTATATTTTGGTGAGAGAAATGGATTACCGTTTGAGGCATTTTGTTTTTTGATAGGAAAAAGTTACTTATTGTTGGAAAAGTGGTAGGTCTACTGAAATATTTTATGTTATACTTGCGGTTAGAATCTGATTGGCTGAAAGGGAGCTTGCTCAGATGCAGTCCTGTCGAGGGTTTGGCCAAAGCCAAATATTGTAGAATTGATTATGATTTTGTTTCAATCCCGTATTTATTTGGTAGTTACTCTAATTTGGGGTTTTGTAATTTATGTTTTTTTAAAAATAAACAAAAATCAGTTTATAAAATTTTTGTAAACATAAACAAAAAATGTAAACGTTACCAAACGCTACCTTAATTTGGATGTGACATTTTGTTTTATTAATTTTTTAGCCAATTTCATCATTTGTGATTAATTTAATCAAAAAAATTAGAAAAAAAAATCACATCCCAAACGACACTTAAAAATAAAATAAAATAATTTTTATTTTTTGAGTTATAACTAAGAAAAAATTTGTCATAATTAAATATACATGATGTATTATTTAAGAATTCATGTGTCATAATTGAATTTTTTTTGTCATAATTAAAAAAATAATATAGTTAAAGAGCTATGATAGAGATCCCCTCCAATCTGTGGGCCGGCCCGGCCCGACTCGAATTTTCCGGGCACCCACGAGGATCGACATGGGCCGGGCCCCTACACATTGACGATATGAACATTTACGTTGACGGTGTGAACATTCACATTAAGGGTATTTTGGTAATTATGTCACCCATAGGACTTATTGAAATATAAGAAAATAATGTGAACTAAATGGAACATAAGTAGATGAAAAGGGTATTTTGGTCTTCTTATCTCAAATTGGACCTAATGGAATAGTCAAAAAGAATATGGGTTGGATGGAATAAAACTCTTAGAAAATGGATTTATCAAAAAAGCTCCCATTTATTTATGTTCACCCACTAAGACTTCTATTATTACAAATCTTATTTTTTTTTCTCTTGTGAAAGGTTTTCTTCACCCTTGTATTTATTTATGTTCACCCACTAAGACTTCTATTATTACAAGACCATTGAATAGACTTTTCAACATTCTTCTTTTCCAATTCTGGATTCACACCACACCAATCAAGATATATATATACACAAATATATATATATATATATATATCCAAACACAATATTTCAATGGTCCGGCCCGGCCTGGCCAGGCCGGATTTCAAAATGACAGTTCAAACTCAAACTCTCGGGTTGGGTTCAGGCTCGGGCCTAATCGGGCCATGTCTACTCCCAAGCGGCGGCCGGATTCAGCTTGCCTATGGGCTACAAGTCATTTTTACACCCATAACTAGATGTAAGCTGAGTTCAATCAGAATTTATGAGTATTATTGAAGAAAACAACGGTAACTCACAATTTTTAAATAGTGTTTAAATTTTGAATTATATAATAGTGATTTAAGAGGGGGGGGAAGAAGAGACAAATATTCACAATAATATAAACTAAAATTTTATTTTTTCTTTATAATTTTCTTTTTGTCTCTCTTTGAAAACGTAAACTGAAATATAAGATTCAAATACATCCTTAATTAAACATGAATATAGAGATTTTCAAGTGGTCGGTATGACCAGCAGCCTCAATTAGAGAAAAGTCTCACAAGCTCCCATCTGTCATGTTTGAATTTTGGCACCAGAACACTTGTGGTATTTTTTAAAACAAGTAAACAAGTCAGATTGTATTTCTTATTATGTTGTCTTCAACCGTAATTTTTGGTTATTCATGATTTTGTTTATTAGGAACTGATAATATTGTTGCAAATTATTATTTTACGAAATTTGTTTTCTGTATAAGTTTTCTACTTAGTACAAATCTATGTTTGTGTTCTTATATTTTCTGAGATTATCATTAAGTACGATACTCTTGTATTATGTAGTTCTAGTCAAAATTCTATCATATTAATTCGAAAGTGGCGATTATTCCGATCTAATAGCCCATTATGTGCAGCATTGAATTCAGAGACGTGCTTATATTTATATGTTTACCATTTGGAAAGTTTTGTATCATATTTGTTGCACTTGATGGAGCACTTTGAATACTATCCTCAACCCCACTTACCTGAATCTTGGATGTAGCTTTCTGCCGCTTTTTCCTTGATTTCATCCTTCGCTCACAAAGAACTTTTGAACAGTTTTCACAATGCCAAGCATGTTTAATGGAGAGAAGCTCTGGCTTCGTGAAATACACCAAACAGAACTCTACGGACATTGGAGAATCACTATTATCGACTTCATCTGGATCAGACTCACTGCTATTTCCATCTAAGAAACCAGTTTCTGCAATTTCATTTGCCGGAAAATTACTCACTTGACAAGGGTTTTACATTGGGCCCTGCATCAATTTCTGGCTCATTAAATAAGTCTCCAAAGCCATCAAAGTCCAACGCATCTGGTTCACAGCCAGCAGCTGACGATGAGACCTCACCTTCTCTCAATATCTCACCACTAGTTGAAGTTTCTTCTTTATGAGGAAGCAACAGAACTTCAGAATCTTGGACCTGTAATGGAAGGTCATTTTCAAAAGAATTCCCTAAACCATCTTTGCCTCCAGAATCTTGGACTACTAATCCATCGTTAACTTTGGCAGCCATAACATGATCATCTGATAATGTATCGGGTTCAAGGTAATCCAACCATGTCAAATTGTCCAATGAACCTGCTCTTTCTACTATACAAAGAGAATGGATCTGCCTGCTAGATTCTATGCCATCCTGTAACAAGGCATCGTTTTCAACACCATATTGTTTTCCTGAATCATAAATTACTGCAATATCATTAGGTTTTAAATCCGTATCATCGTCATTTGACACAGGATCTGGTTCCAGGTAATCCAACCATGCTAAATTGTCAACTGAAGCCTCTGTTTTATCCATGACATTCTTGAGGAATGTATTCTTTTCAAACTCTTTAGCAGTCGAGATTTGATGAAACTGAACTCTTTTCATCTGCAACTGTACCAGGGCCAACAGATTCAAACAGTGTAGAATCGACCAAAGCATCTCCTACTTTTTCTTTGACAGGCACAGTAGATTCTACTAGGCAAGAAGATGAACCACTAGCTGACGGAACTGAAACACTGTCAGATGCTACAGAATCTGCATCCCTATTAAGCTTTGGACGAATCCTTCCACATCGTTTTGGAGGCAGCTTTGGTTTCTTGGCTTGAGAAATAGGTTGGGCCCTTTTACATGGGGGTTTCTTAGTTGGAACTGGAAGTGAGAGATCCAGAAATGGCTCAAACACTGTTGAGGAGTGCCCACATTCCAAACAAGAAACAGTACTGGATAGTTGGCCCCCAAAGATGCTATCAATAAAAGTAGGACCCAGATTTGAGGGAATCCCATTTTCCAGAGAATTAGTCTGTTTTCTTGCACTCAACTCTTCAGTACACAACCCATCGAGTAAACAATGAAGCAACTCATGACTGTCATGCTGTTGATGCCCCCTAAATTGGGAAGCCTTGGCACAAACACACCCGAAAAAGAATTTTGGATTTATCACATTTCCCAAGCCAGCCTTTGGACTAGTTTCAATAAAGAGCTTCTTTCAAGAAATGGTAAGAGGACCTACAGACTCATCCAATTCCAAGAAGTGATTCCGTAATCTCTCCATTGCTAAGAGATTCTACATGATTGAATTAAAGAAGCAAGTATGACCAAGATTAACCAAGCCTTTGATCACATAACCACTTTTTCCATCCAAACTACTTACAATGATGTTTTCTGATTTTATCTCACTTATAACACTGCCACTCCCAAAATAAACATCCTCAACATCCACTGAGGCCCCTTGAAATGATTGCCCCTTTATCAATTTCACAATATCTGACAGCGGATCTTTCTCTTCACCACTTTCCTCCAATTTTTCAACTGGAATAAGTGTATCACAAGGGAAGCACCAGCATAGTTGAAGGTTTTCAAATTGGATAGCCAATGGATGACGAGTTTGCCTGGCATGCGGAACTGCATGGGTTTGAGGGGTTGTTGGGAATCCAATCCCCCCACATGAAAGATGACCGCATTCGAAACAAACCCAAATTGCTTTAGACTCAGGTTTCTTGTCCACAGAACCTCCCACTTTCTTCTTCACCTGCTTGCCCCTTCCCTTACTTGCCCACCTATCAACCACACCTCTGCAATCTTCACACCTAATATGTCCTATAGACCTTATTCTTGAAGAAAATTTAGCTAAATCAATATCCTTATCAAGATGGGAACACACTTTCCTCTCTTTTATGACTGAAAGTCCATTATCAGTGCTTGGAATGCTATGCTGGGTGACAGTTTCAGTTTTCTGAGAAAGGGTAGAAACTCGCTTCTCTGTTTGACCACTTCGGGCTTTCTTCTTAACTTTTTTCGCCATTAATTCCTAAACCAATCCAGGAAAACTATAAACACCAAATACCCAAAAAGAAATAAAACCAAATCCACATCCCATTTGGATTGAGGGGTTTGACTATAAAAGAAAATAAATGGTAAGAAACAAAAATCTTATCACTTATTTGGATGAATGAGGAGAGGCAAAATGACGTGAAAGGAAGAAATTGAGAGAAAGTGAAGTCTTTTAAAACTCATGTTCTTTTTTAACCAAACTTGGTGCCATTTAGTGGCAAATGTAAAAATTTTACAATACCTATCTAAATTAAAAATTAAAAAGAAAAAAGAACACCAATAGACCCCTCTTTCTATCATGTTCATCCAAACATAATGTGAGAAACCGCAATTATTTCTTTTCCTCACTACCATAATCTTTTCCTTTCATTCCTTACCTAACTTACCAAGAGGACTGTTACCCTGTATATGGTTGGGGGATTTGGAAAGGAAAAAAGAAAAGTTAGGTGAAATATAAATAAAATCCCTTTTCCTTTCAAATTCTTTCTCAAATCTCCCAATCAAACACAGCATTAAGCAAACATCCTAAAGATCAGGAAAAAAAAAAAAAACCGTTCCAAAGCAGTCCAATAAAGCAATAAACATTAAACACTAAATAATTAATAATTAAAAAAAACACACACACACTAACAATCATTAGTAAACCAAACCATTCCTAAAATCCCTACAGTCAATTAATTACAAACCCACATATTAAAAAGAACAAAAAGAAAAAAAAAACATAATCACATCAAACGATCAAAACAAGAGATACACTCAACAAACCAATCCAATTATTCCACCAATACATACAAATATTTGAAAAAAAGTAAAACCCATCAAAGATTTGTGTTTGGAAGGTACCCAGATGATTAAAAAGAACAAAATATTCACCTCAAAATCTGATATTGCTTGAACAATCTATGATGGATTCTCAGAAAGAAACTGTTGTTCGAAGATTAGGATCTAAAGAGAAGGGTATTGAGCTGTGTTAGAGAGAGAGTGGTCAGTGGAGTGCACATTTTAAGGGGTTTGGCGCACCCTCACAACACCATTTTGTTCATAACTAATATCACATATTTCATAACCACATCTCATAACCAACACCATTTTGTTCATAACTAATATCACATATTTCATAATCATAATCACATATCTCATAACCAACACCACTTTGATTATAACAAATATCACATATCTCATAACCACATCTCGTAACCAATCCCTTTGAGTCATAACCAACATCACATATCTCATAACTACTAGTCACATATCTCATAACCAACACCTTTTCGTCATAACTAATATCACATATCTCATAACCACTAATCACACATCTCATAACTACTACCCACATACATCATAACCACATCTCATAACCAATCCCTTTGAGTCATAACCAACATCACATATCTCATAACCACTAGTTACATATCTCGTAACCAACACCTTTTTGTCATGACCAATATCACATATTTCATAACCACTAATCACATATCTTATAATTAACACCTTTTTGCTCATAACCACATCACTTTGATCATAACTAACATCACATATCTCATAACTACTAGTCACATATCTAATAACTAACATCACATATCTCACAACCACTACTCACATAACCAATATCTCATAACTCTCACAACCACTAGTCACATAACCAATATCTCATAACTAATAACCATTAATACATATAGCATAACTACACCCTTTGACGCCACTTTGCTCATAACCATTACCCACATATCTCATAACCACTAACACATGTAGCATAACCAAATACCCTTTGACACCACTTTGCTCATAACCATTACCCACATATCTCATAACCAACATCACATATATCATAACTACTAATCACATATCTCATAACCAAACACCCTTTGACTTATAACTATACCACTCTACTCGTAACCAAAATCACATATCTCGTAATCACTAATCATATATCTCATTACCTTTACCCACATATATTATAACCACATCTCATAACTAGCACCCTTTGTTTCATAATCAATATCACATATATCATAACTACTAATCAAACACCTTTTTGCTCATAACCACATCACTTTGATCATAACCAACATCACATATCTCATAACCACTAGTTACATATCTCGTAACCAACACCTTTTTGTCATGACCAATATCACATATTTCATAACCACTAATCACATATCTTATAATTAACACCTTTTTGCTCATAACCACATCACTTTGATCATAACCAACATCACATATCTCATAACTACTAGTCACATATCTAATAACCAACATCACATATCTCACAATCACTAGTCACATAACCAATATCTCATAACTCATAACCATTAATACATATAGCATAACCACACCCTTTGACACCACTTTGCTCATAACTATTACCCACATATCTCATAACTACTAACACATATAGCATAACCAAATACCATTTAACACCACTTTGCTCATAACCATGACTCACATATCTCATAACCACTCATAACCATTACCTACATATCTCATAACCACTAACACATATAGCATAACCAAACTCCCTTTGACACCACTATGCTCATAACCATTATCCACATATCTCATAACCACTCATAACCATTATCCACATATCTCATAACCACTAACACATATACCATAACCAAACACCTTTTGACACCACTTTGCTCATAACTATTACCCACATATCTCATAACCACTAACACGTATAGCATAACCAAATACCATTTGACACCACTTTGCTCGTAACCATTAGCCACATATCTCATAACCACTAACACATATAGCATAACCAAACACCATTTGACACCACTTTACTCATAACCATTACCCACATATCTCATAACCAACATCACATATATCATAACTACTAATCACATATCTCATAACCAAACACCTTTTGACTTATAACTATACCACTCTGCTCATAACCAAAATCACATATTTCGTAATCACTAATCATATATCTCATTACCTTTACCCACATATATTATAATCACATCTCATAACTAGCACCCTTTATTTCATAATCAATATCACATATA